CGATGCATGTGCCTGCTGACTCCTGAAGTCTTCTGTCTTCTGAATCAAACAAGAAGCATGTTAGCTTCAGAGCCATGTGCTAAATACCACACTTTAGATCATAAAAGTCTAGTTCACACCAAAGTATTTACTTAACTTTATAGAATCCTAACGGAAGGAGAAATGCACAAATAATTTACAAGTTGTATAGATACATTTCACATTTAAGATTTTAAGAATTGAATTATACATGAATTACTATAAAAATTAGGAAACATTTCATCAATTTAACAAATTATTTACTCAGCACTTACAAGGTAAGAGACAACATTATACTGTTGCAAGAGAAACAGAAGTTACCAAAGACAGCAGGACACTGCATCTAGGTATTTCAATGTAGAACATAAGATACAAGAGCAAAAAATAACTCTAAATTAGGGTAGATGGTTGGGAGAGGCAGTGCTTTACGAGTCTCTTAAAGTTTTGCATACACTCAGAATGAAATGATGTTCTAGTTTGCCTTTCATTGCTGTGGGAAAAAAAGACCAAACCAAACAAACAAGCAAACAAAAAAGCCATGACCAAATTCAACTTGGAAGTAGCAAGTTTAGTTTACAGTCCATCACTGAGAGAAGCCAGGGCAGGATTGGTTAAGAGCATATATTCTGCTTGCAGAGGACTCTTGTTCTGAGAACTGGCATCAGGCAGCTCACAGCCACCTGCAACCCAGGCTTCAGGAGATATTACACCTTCTTCTTATCTCTGCTAGCAATCACAGATACATAAGCATGCCACACAGAGGCACATACATACATACATACATACATACATACATACATACATGCATACATATATATGCACAGTAACAAAAATAAATCTTACTTTAAAATATCAGCAAAACAAGCAGCTGATTCTTTGAAAAGACAAAAAAATTGACAACCTTTTAGTCAAACTAACACAATTAAAAGATCTAAATTAATAAAAATTAGAGACAATGGGGAAGGCATACCAGGTATTAGTAAAATTCAAAACATTAAGGCATACATTGAAAGTTATATTCTAATAAATTGTAAAAATCTATAGGAAATGAGAAACTTTCTAGATACACATGACCTACCAAATTTAAGCCAAGAGGTTATTAATAATGTAAGTAGATCTGTAATAACAGCAAGATTGCCCTAGAATTCTATCGCTGTGATAAACCACTTACCAAACTAACTTAGGGGATGAAAGAAATTAATTACAAGATACAGACTATCACTGAGGGATGCTGTAGTGGTTTGAAAAAAATGGCCCCCATAGGCTCATAGGGAGTGGCAATATTAGGAGGTGTGGCCTTGTTGGAGTAGGTGTGGCCTTGTTGGAGTAGGTGTGGCCTTGTTGGAGGAAGGATGTCACTAGTGGGGGTGGGGAGGAGGTGTTAGCTCAAGCTAGCCGTACTGTGGCATTCACTTGTGCTGCCTGTAGATCAAGATGTAGAACTCTCAGCTCCTTCTCCAGCACCATGTCTTCCTGTATGTCTCCATGTTTCCCACCATGATGATAATGGACTAATTAACCCTCTGAAACTGTGGGACAGCCCCAAATTAAATGTTTTTTTATAAGTGTTGCTATGGTCTTGGTGTCTCTTCACAGCAATAGAAACACTAAGACAGATGTGAGGCAGGAGCTTGAGGCAGGTGCTTGAAGCAGGAACTACAGAGTTACCCTCACTATGGCTTGCTCAGATTTGCTTATACACCCCAGGGGTTGGCACTACACACAGTGGGGTGAGGCTTCCCTTATCAGTCATTAATTGAGAAAATAACCCTACAGACATGCCCACAGGCCACTCTGATGGAGATAATTTTTCAGTTGAGGTATCCTTTTCCCAGGTGTCTTTGGTTTGTGTTAACTGACAAAGAGTAACATGCACAAAGACTAAAGAATTAGTAAAAGTCTCCCAACTAAAATCTTCAAGGTCAGAAGGATCCACAGCCAAAGTTTATAAATGCTTCTCCAACTAGTCCACAAAATTAAGGCGTTAATACTGCCAAACTCAGTTTTCATTGTAGTTTTATACATACATCTAAACTGAGAAAGGCCACCAAAAAAGGGGGGGGGGATTATAGGTCAGTCTCCCCAACGAACAGATGCACAAATTCTCAACAAAATATTTATAAACTGTATAAATATGTGTAAGTATTTATTTACACATCAAAAAGCATCATTGTCTTAGTCGGCGTTTCTATTCCTACACAAACATCATGACCAAGGAGCAAGTTGGGGAGGAAAGGGGTTATTCAGCATTGCTTCCACATTGCTGTTCATCACCAAAGGAAGTCAGGACAGGAACTCGAGCAGATCAGGAAGCAGGAGCTGATGTAGAGGCCATGGAGGGATGTTTCTTTCTGGCTTGTTTCCCTGGCTTGCTGAGCTTGCTTTTTTATAGAACCTAAGACTACCAGCCCAGGGATGGCATCACCCATAATGGGCAGGACCCTCCCATCCTTGATCACTAATTGAGAAAACGCCTTACAGCTGGAGCTCATGGAGGAATTTCCTCAAGGGAGGCTCCCTTCTCTGTGTGGTAACTCCGGCTTGTGTCAGGTTGACACACAAAACCAGCCAGTACACTCATTCATCATGATCAGTGGACTTTATTCCATGTAAGGATAATTTAACATGTGCATTTGCACATCACGTAAGTAGACTTGGAGCCAGAAATGACATCTTAATAGATACAGAAAGGTCCTTCGATAAAGTCCCTTGATAAATTTCTCTCGACAACAAATGCCTTAAGAAACTATCAATGAAATAAGTATCAAGTAACATAATAAATGTTGAATATTAAAAGAAAAAATCCTCCGTAACCTGCATTACCCTAATCAGAGTTAAACTGTCAAAGTACTTGCAGTGAAGTCAGGAGTGAGACAATGCCATCCACTCTTTTCATACTTTCCCTCAATACAGTCTTGAAGTTTGAGCTAGAGAAATAAAACTAAATAAATAACATAAACAGGGAGAGAAATAAAACGGATATAAATGGAAATCATCCCTATTCTGTAGACAATAACTTTCCATAATAAGAGACCCAAAGCTCTACCAGAAACTCTTAGAACTGATAAACTCTTCTAGAAAATGAACAGGATACAAAAATCAGTAGCTTTTCTATATGTCAGCAACCAACATACTGCTGAGAACTCAGGAAAGCAACCCCATTTGGTCATTATTTATAAATAAATAAATAAATAAATAAATAAATAAATAACCTAGGAATAATCCTAGCCAAAAAACTACAATGAGAATAATATAAGCACTTAAAGTGAAGAATAAGATGGAAATATCATGAATACTAATGGATTAGAAGTAATTTCACATAAAATAGCTATATCAGCAAAAGAGATCTATGTGACATTTAGAAGACAACTTTGTAGAATTGATTCTCTCCCTCCATCCACCTTTACATGGGGCCTGGAAATCAAATCCGGGTTGCCAAACTTGTACAGCAAGATCCTGTACAAAACTGCTACAAAAACAAACCTGTAGATCAGTGGACTAGCACAGAGGAGTTAGCTTCTTTTCCTATTGCTCTTATAAAATTCTGTAAAAAAAAGAAACTTAAGGGAAAAGAGGTTTATTTTAGTTCACAGTTCACAATACAGTGGATCATGGCAGGAAGGTCAAGGCAGCAGGAGCTGGAAGTGGCTGGCCACAGTCCGAAGGAGAGAGGCGTGAATTCCACTCAAGGGCTCAGCCTGCTGTCTACATCTATTACAGGGTCCCCCACCCAGGAAATAGCTCTTCTCACAATTAAGGTGGGTTGTTCCCACACCAGCATATCCAGAGAATTCTAGAGTCTGTTAAGCTGACAACTCAAATAAGAGATGGGGAGGGGGGGAGAAAGGGGGCTATTAGGAGGGGTAAAGGAGAACTCAGGGGAGTAATAGGAGAGAAAGACAGATGGTGAAAATATATGATACATTTAAAAGGAACTTGCTTTATGAATACACAAACAATGAACACATGCCAATTTAAAACGAGGAGGAGGAGGCAAGGAAGGAAGAGGAGGAGGAGAAGGAGGGGGAGAGGAGGAGGAGGAGGAGGAGGAGGAGGAGGAGGAGGAGGAGGAGGAGGAGGAGGCTGTAAAATGGCTCAACAGGTAAAGGACCTTGCTGTACAAGTTTGGCATGTGCACCCCCACACATCATGCATTCACAACACACACACGCACACACACACGCGATAATAATATTCTTATTCCATCTGTGTGGGGGTATGTTTAAGTGTCTGCATGTATATGAGTTCATGTGTGGAGGCCTGAGGCTGAGGTCAGGAATCTTGTTCAACTTCTGTTCTACTTTACTCATTTAGGCAAGGTCTCCCACCTTCCAAACTCCACTCAGTATCCACACTTGTATGGCTGCACTTTAACCACTCAGACATCTCCTCAGCCCCCAAATAATATGTTTCTAAAATTAAAAAACAAAAGTCACACACCAGGTATCCAAGTTAACAACCGTGTTTATTATTTATGTACATTTGGAATTCTAAGTCTTTAATCTCTGAGATTCCATTTCCTTATATATAAAAATCACAGCCCTCAGTAGTACGTGCATGCACTCGGACAAGGTGTTTGCATGAAGATTAAATGAAATATAAATATAAAAGACCTCATCCACCCAAATCATATCAGCACACATCACTCACAGCTGGAAATCAAATTTCAAGTTCTAGCAAAAAAGAACCATATCTTCATATGCCAGGCATGTCACTGCCACATCATCCAGTGCTTGCAAAACACCAACCAAATGCATTAATCAGATGCAAAGGTCTGTTTCCCATTACAGCCACTTAGCCTACTCCAGTGAGTGTCCCACCAGGGCCCTGGACCGAGTTCTGTCTCTTAAGGTACAGAGGTTCTCAACACTTACAAATCCACAGGCTGCCGTGTAGTTGGCTCATGGCCTAGGAATGGTCAGGAAGCAAGGCTGTCCTTTGTGTACTGACATCCTAAGACAAACACATCCACCTTCACTTACCCGGAAATAGTCACTGCAGGCCGCTAGGACTGCCTTGTGAGCATGGAACTTCTGTTCCTCGGCGATCAGGGTCACGTCACAGAGAATGCCATCACTTCTTTGCTGATTCAGTGCTGCGAGGACAGTGTCATTGTGAGATTCCGAGTGGCACAGCCTCTGGCCTGTCAGCATTTCTTGAATACTACAAAGGAGAGTAATGAAGCCCTGTTTATTCCTTTCGCAAGCTCAGCTTCCCAGGGGCTCTCTCACTCACTGAACTTTGGAGAGGCTACATGAACTCTAGTGCACTGTGAGTCTGACCTTCCTGTTCTCAATTTTTGTTTGTTGTCCTTTACTCTAATTCTTTCCTTTGCCCTGTCCTGGGACATCTTTCTCTTGGTAGCTCCTGTTTATTTTGCTGAGGTTTAACTTTGTGAGAGTCTACGTGTGTCTGTGAATCCATGAGCCTGTTTCTCAACTCCTATTCATTCCTTCAGTGTGTGCATGGAAAACTTGGTTTATGTGTACACGTGAACATACCTTCCCCTGTGTGGAGGGGTGGGTGGGGGAGTGGCTGGCAGGCACACTATTCCTAATCTGTTACTCGCTCTCTAATTCCATTCTTCTCTAACTTTTGACTCACCATGTGTCTCCCTAGAATACATAAACCCAATAAATATAAGAAAACTGAGCCAAAATCTGAATTCTTGCTTAGGCTGCGAGGCTAAGCACTGCAAGGGAATATCAATAAAAGATAAAAATATCTCTCTGGGTTCCCTGAGGGACAAGCCTGACTGCATAGGGGTTGATGTCAAAAGTATCCCCTCTCCAGGAAAAAGACATCGGGATGGGTATGGCCCTCATGCCTCACTGGACAGCAACAGGGGGACCGGAGCCATTACAAGGTCCCCTTCAAATACTGGAGGTCAGGCCTCTATCCTCGCCTTTGCAAGTTTAGAATTGCCACAGCCCTTCTATACTTAGAGAAGGGAGGAGATGTCAGGGGCAGACCAGCTTACACACTGAAGGCCTAAAATCAGCCATAGGCCTAAAATCAGCAATAGGCCTGTCATACATGTATACTAACACCAAGTCTTGGGTCTCAATGGAAAAACATCAAAACAGATGGCTATAAGCTAATGTAAACAGGCAGCTTTTGTGGAAATCTACAAGCCTGAGTAGTCATAGACCTTGTAAATAGGTAGCCTTGGCAGACAATATCAACTTAGATAAGGACAAGCGAGTCATAGGCAGAGTCATAGTGACTTGTCCCCTGAACCTTCACCCAGCCGATACCTGGTTCTGATGATATCTGTATTCCTCCTGATCACCCACACTCCAGTGTCATTCCCTTCCCCACATCCTGACTTTCTGTGTTTATAACCCCTGTGTGAATGAATTATGATTTGAGAAAAAATAAATTATAAAAGAGAGAGAGAGAGAGAGAGAGAGAGAGAGAGAATATCTCCAAATTTGAGGCCAGCCTGGCCTACAGAGAGTTCTAGGACAGGCAGAGTAATCCTGTTTCTAAACTGCCCCTCAAAAACCTTGTCTCCTTTCACTATCACCCACTTCAACCAACATACATACATTCTCCATCTGCAGTTCGGAGTGACCACTAAGCTACACTATATTTCCTTAGATATCATTACTCTAGATTTCATATAAGTGGTGTGTATGCTTTACCACTGGCTTCCTTCATTTAGCATGATGTAATGTTTTTCGAAGTTCACTCATGTTCTCAGTTCTTCCTTGGCACCTTTATTAGTGCTTCATTTCCTTTTATGGGCAAACAATGTCCAGTTACAGATAAGTTTTTACTTATTCATTGATATTACAACATTTATTATCTTTGCATATTTAAGCTCTAATAAATAATGCTGATATAAGCATTTGTGTACATAAAAAAACAAAAACAAAAACAAAAAAAAAAAAAAGAAAACTGAGCCAAAGAGCTGCACCTGAGCATCCTGAATCCAAAGCAGTCAAACACAGCATCAGGCAGATCGTGGGAAATTGCACACTACACAACAAATGTCAGAAGAAATTAATCTGCAATAGATGGAGCATGGTGGCATAAAGCTTCAATCCCAGCATTCAGGAAGCTGGGAATCAGAGGATTTGAAGATCAAGGTTATCCTTGGCTACATAGTAAGTTAGAGGCCAACCTGAGCTGCATGAGACCTATCTCTGTGGTGGGGAAAGTGTCCTTTGTAAATGAAAAAGACAATTGAAAGTTAAAAGTAAAATATCCATTTCCAATGTCTATGAAATCATTGTACTGGATTTATGAATGGACCATTTTTTCTTTTTATTTTGTGAGATTGTTAAACTCCTATTATGAAGCTTACCACTTCATTTTCTTCCCCATCTTAAAATTCCTTTCAAAATTCCTACTTGAACTTCAAAGATTTTCTAAAATGAGATCTCAATGATGCCATGAACTCACAACACAAACTGAATTTACACATTACTATGGACAATTCTAGCTTAGGTCATCAAAGATCTCTCTACATCACTCCAGAATCTTACAACAAGTACTGGGTCCTGACAGTGAACAATGCCATTACTAGGTTACTCCCAGAGGATGACAAGGGTGGTATGCCCTATTTCCAAACAGTGAACTCCTTTAAAAGTTGATTTAAAATATCTAAGGATGCCTTAACATGCACCCTCTCTACCTGACATTTCCGAGCTCAGTGCCAGTATGAGAAGTGCTATTTAGAGGAAACAAAGCTTTATCCACACTGGTGCTTTATTAGACAAGGCTCTACCTTACTTCTGCCAATTGGCTGGTAAATTAGAGTTAAATACAAATCTCTACCTTAAAATGAACCAAATTCTTCCAGTGAAAAGCCAGTGTATTCAGAGAACGTTATTGAATATTGCCTACTGGGAAGCATCGAAGTCCAAACTATGGAAAGAAAGTAGCTCAAGAGAAAGAGAGACTACAGGAAGCTCTTGTAGGAAGGTTTAAGGATTGTTTGCAGCAGTCTGAAGGGCTCACGGCCATTGAATATTCATCCGTGGCTCCTGTGGTAGGCAGGAATTCTAAATCAGTAACTAAAAGTTACTTTCGGAAACATAAATAGTTCTTTATAAAATTTTCTATGTAAAGTCTAGAATGTGGATTAATTAGTATCATTAAGTAAAAGATGTGGTGAAAAAAAACAAGAATTCTTTATCAGCAAGGTAGCCTGAAAAAGCTTTCCTAAAATGATGACATTTTCATAGTTAGCAATTATATTGCTTACAGTTTTCAGCCAGTTGTCCCGCGTGTTATATAATTACTAATTATAACTAACAACTTATTCTCCCTAGCAACTCCAAGAGAAGGTACTATTGGCACCTATGTTTTACAGATTAAGAATACCAAAATTCATGAACATGAATTTTTAAAAAAAACAATGTTAAGAACAAAATGATATAATTCTTATTTCTACTTAAAAAAAAAAAAGGTATCTGTAAGAAAGGTCTCCAAAACTTATTCCCAAGGTGATAAAAATTCCAAAAGCTCTTATTGGGTTTATATTTATAGCATACATAAGTACATAAGTAGCCTCAAAATATTTGAGTAATATATGAAAATACAATTGCATGCAACAATCACAAACCTATGCAGTCATGCTGCAAAACTGTTCTCTTATGTACCAGGACTAACATTTTGGAACAGAAAATAGACTTTTAGTATTATAACTTTAGAAACTGTATTTGGGACTTTCATAATTTTCTTTCTACTCTTTTATGTCACCATAAATGAATTTTGAAATTTCATTTGTAGTTGAACAAGAATACACTAACAACAATTGCTTGAAAATCTTTTCTTATTCCAAATCTAGTGCATGATCCACATCACTATTAAGAAATCTTGGCAGGAAGAGAACAACTGTGAACTGCAATTTGGCAAAGACTGAAGGGCTGAGCTCTGGAACACTAGTGATGCTCCTTGCCTTCACAGACTTAATAGCTCAGCTAGGAAAAGTCACCCTTAAAGAACACCATAAGTTGATATTTAAGACAACACTTGGCAGAAGAGCCTAAATATTTTAGAGCCAATATGTTATGAGTTCTTAAAAAGCAGAAATAAATACTCTGGCATTTGGCAAGAAACAAAGGCCCACTAATCAACAAGTCTCAACAAGTCATTATTGTATTCTCAAAGCAATTTCCCACCTGTCTCTTAGCTATAAAGCTGCAAACGCCCTCACCTCTGTAAACCTGACAGCACACCTGTGCACAGGGCAGCCAGGAGAGGTGAGGCTCACTTCACCTGGCTAATTATCACATACTGGGAACAACAGGAATCAGGAATCGAAGGCTGAGGTGTATCATACAGAAATTAAAATGGGGAGCAGATGAACGCTTGTCGCTATCTCCCTCTGCCCTGACAAGACATGGCTAGCTAACACACTCACCTCTCAGGTCAGAGCAATGTCCTCTCACTACTGAGAAACAAACAAACACAAAAAATGAAAAAAAAACTCTTTCAAAAACTTTCAAATAGCTGGGGAAGGATATGAGGAAGGCTCCGAGTTTCTCTGGGGGAAATTCAGATTTGAGAATCTGAAACTTAAAAAACTTAAAAAGCTTTCCTCAGCTTAAAACTGGGGAAATTCTTCCATGAAAGAAACAGTACGGCTCAAAATCCACAGCTAGTACAGAAGGTACCCAGGCTCCCCAAGTGCAAGACCAGTTTTCTGTAGGCGCCCAAGAGCTGCATTGCTAAAACAGGAACCACTAGATACATAGGGCTGCTGGATGCTCTAAACAGGCTAGTACAAGCTGAGATGTGCTGTCGAAAATGATATGAAAAGAGGATTCAATATGATTCATTAATACTTTTATACTGAAGACCTGTTTAGACTGTGATTTGGGACACACTGATTTACATGAACTACACCACTAAGACTAATCAGAGCTGTTTCTTTGTTCCTTATTGTAAAATGTATCTACTTTAAACTATACATGCTTTCTATTATGATCCTATTTCCAAGTCCATAAGCTCACTGGCACCCTATTAGGTGACTCCAAGCAAGCTGTCACTGTCAGCGAGTACCATTTCTGCATCTCACAGGGCTTACCCAGGTCTCCGGTATCACAGTAGGAAACCCAGACTCCCCCAGCAGCTGATTGACTTTAGAAATGCCAGGGAGTTAGCACCAGACTGGTCACATGCCAGCATCTAATAATGGGTAGATTCATTCATGAGGTCCCAGGGAACAGGACTAATCATGACTTTGAGCCTGTAACTTTCATTCTGGAATGGATCCGAGAACTAGTAAATCAAATGCAAAGCACGCTTCTAACAGTGTCCTCCTGCTCATTCTGAGACTCTGCTTTAGTGCAAATGGCTACTTTGAGTGCATAGAGTTAACTCTTCGATCCCAGAAATCCCAACGGGTCTTATTTTCATTTATTCACTTAACTGAATTCAGAAAGTTCTTAAGATATAAATTCTAAAACAAATCTACACTTCTTCATTTTACATTTCAAATATAAAAGTTCTGTAGACTTCTCTTTTAATGTTTCCCTACTACTCAACAAGATAAAGATTTTTTTATGTATTAATGGTAAAAAAATACTACTTATTTATGTACGCAAGCTGTTAAAAGACTCTGTAATGGAATTAATTTTATTTTTATATAATATTCTATAAACTCTATAAAGTAGATGCTAAAAATAAAAACAGTCATAATAATAAGCCTAGATTAAAACATTTTGCACAATTAAGAAATACTAAGATTATGGAGAAAGAAACTTGATTATATATGAACAGCTTTCTAGACCCCTTCCCTCATTCATACATACAAGAAACATTTATTCTGCCTTGCTATTCTGGAAATAAAATGCCGAATAAATAAAGTGTGGCAACAGCACCACAGAATATTCAGTGTCTCAGAACAGTGGCGCACTAAGTACTCTCAGCTTCCCAAAGGAGAACTAGCTAAGGTATAGACGGATGAGTTAACATCCTGATACAGGGAAGAGAAGATGTACGCAGGGAAAGAGAACAGCAAGCTTTGGTTTCTGTCAACAGGAAGCACAGACAGACTCACACACTCTTCTACAGAAATCAGTGTGGCTGAAACTGAGGGTAAGAGAGAACTGAGTAAACTGCAGTAGAGGTGATAACTCAAGCAGGATGTGTGGGCCAGGACATCTAAGAGCCATGGGAAGTCTCAGCCATGGTCAACTGGACTGCAGTACCAAGAGCAGTTGGGCCAGATTGGAGCAGTTTGGGACTATGGCAATAGTTGAGGCCTATCTCAGCCCTACCCTGAATCATCAAGATGATGCTTCAGAGATGTGATCAGATTTGAAAGTTATTCATGGGGGAAAGTTAAGAGCCTGGTGGTAAGCTAAATACAGATATGGATGGGAAGGGGGTTCTCATGGAGATGCTCATATTTCTGGTTTATAAAACTTGATATCCCAGTATTAGGGCACCTGGAAAAGAAGAACATAATGAACTCATCTTGGGATATGTTAAGTTTGATTTGTCTTAAAGACTTCTTTCTAAGTGTAGATGTCAAAAAACACAGCTTGATTTATAGGTCTGAAGCTCAGAACACAGTCTTGGCTAAGGAGAGAAGCATAACTCTTGTTTCTCAGAGAGAAGCCAACAAAGCCCAGCTGTCCTAAGAACACAGTAAAAACTGCTCACATGGGAAAAGCCACTGAAGGCACAAAAAAAAGTCGTGGTTTGGTTTCCTTCTAGAGGGGCAGGAAATAGGAATGCCAGAAACAGTTGTAAGACTCCGGGCATTTGGGGGCTTGTTTGATTTAAAGACTTTTATGAACTGGTCTTCACTGGACAGCATAGATTATTCAGTTCATCTGAATGAGAATTTTTCACAGGCAAATGCCACAAAAACAACAAGAATGGAAAAAAATTAAGGGTTGAGCTAAAGTTTCGGAATGTAAACCAGTTAAGAAGGGAACATAGCAATTAAATGACTCCTAACAACATTCTGCTAACTCACAGACTGGTGCCTCCCTCAGCCATCATCAGAGAAGCCTCCTCTTGCAGTAGATGGGAAGAAACACAGAGACACACAGCCAGACAATGTGCATAAAGTGAGGAACCACTCAGTCCTAAATGGTTTGTCTTCATCAAATCCCTCCTCTCAGAGCTCAGGGAAGCCCACAGAAGAGGAGGTGGAAAGTCTGTAAGAGCCAGAGGGATATCAAGGAAATAAGGCTTTCTAGACACCCAATCCAGCAGGACCAACGAATATATGAACTCACAGAGAACATGGCAACACACATAGAGTCTGCACATATCTGTGCCACCAGATGAGGTCCCAGTACTGAGGAGAGACAAAAGTGGACAAAAGTCCTCACACCTAATCCAGAAACTATCTCAAATTGATAACTACCCGTAAGCAAAAATTTAGTTTTACCCAACAGAATCTCACTGGGGAAACAAGCCACTCCTGAGACCAGGCCCCATGGCCAGCAGCAATAGTTATTTAACATACAAAGAACTCAGTGGCATCTATGGAGATACGGTGGTCATGAAGGCAAATAACAGCCCTAGTGAGAAAGGTAAACCTGCAAGCTGGGCAGGAGGACCCTCTGATATGAAGTGACAAACAGGGATAACAAGATCCATGCTGTGGCTGGGTGGAAGAAAAAGTTCTCTGGAGAAAAGCAGGCTGAGGATGCAAGGGCCTGGAATCTGGGCAGCTCTTCCATAAAAGGGTCTGTGCTGAGGAGGAAGACACAACAGTATTCATGGTCTTGTTGCAACTGTTCCAAAAGGAAGGCATAATGGAAGACAGAGAGGAGGGGAGCCAGGGCTCTGCGCAGGAGCAGGGAAGGATATGACTACACAGGGGAAGATATAGCAGAAGGATGGGAACTGATTACCATAAATTGCAGGCTTAGGGTAAGAAACACACAGATTCTGGTACTAAGGAACAAATTGTCTGAAGTGGTACCATATAAATACCATGGTCCATGTGTATCATATTGGCAGGGCACCAGATCTAGCACAGGGCTTCTTGGCCTTGGTATTAACTGCATTCTGAGATAGGTTGGTTCTTGCTCTGAGGACCTGTCTTATACATGGCAAGATGTTTAGCACAATGTGTAGCTAAAGTCAACTGTACCTGGATCTCTGATAATAAGAAATACTGCTGGTCCTTGAACATCATTCCCTAATTCTCCACTGAGAATTACTGACTGCAACAAGCTCACAAGAGGTGTGCAGAGGTGCTACACCTGCTCCGGTGATGCCACTGACTCTGGACTTATTTTGGAACTAATCATCTCTAATAGCTTCAGACAGCATTATTTAACAGACATATCTAATTTCTCACACTCTACAGATATTCCTCAGTTTTATTACTTCTCTTCTTATCTCTCCTAGAGACCTTTGGACTGCTTCCTCAGAAACTGATGGTGACTTGCCTCTAGGCAGAATGACCGCTATATACTTTCTCTCTGGCTGCCTCTCAGATTTTAGAATGTGAAGCTCTCTCCTGCCTTGGTACATTTGCCAGCTCAGCTCATCCTTGAAATCTCAGGCATACTTCTTTCCTGTGTTTTCACCATACTTTCCATCTGAACGGTTTTCACAATAGCATTTGCATTACTTGTGGTGTAGCTGTTTCTCTGATAAAATACCCAGTTTATAAAGGAGAATAAATCAAATTTTTTATATTATTCATAGCTGGTACTTTACATCAAGTTGAATGTTTGCCTCAACAAATGCTTGTTAAATAAATAAATATTCAAAAAAGATATTATCAGAAACTTCTGAATCCTCCCCAAACTGACTGCATTAAAGAGGTCAATCTTCAGAGACAGTATAGTTTTCTACAAAATTTTATCATGTACCTTTATAGGGATTTGCCTTTTGCTCATAGGGTTACCATCCGAAAAAAGAAAAAACACAAACAGTCGTATCACCCAAAGACTCATTTGGCTTTTCTAGGTTTGATCAAGAGGTCTTAGTGGTTCATCCTTTTTCCAAATACCCAAGTCACAAAAATTATGACTGTTTTGTTTATTCAGTCAAATCGTGCTCAGTTCATGCCTTGTGCTCAGTGTTCTGTGCTCCGTGCTCTGTGTTCAGTGCTCTGTGCTCAGTGCTCAATGCCCAGTGCTCTGTGCTCAGTGCTCAGTGCTCAGTGCCCAGTGCTCTGTGTTCAGTGCTCTGTTTTCAGTGCCCAGCGCTCCGTGTTCAGTGCCCAGCGCTCCTTGTTCAGTGCTCTGTGCTCCGTGCTCTGTGTTCAGTGCTCTGTGCTCAGTGCTCAATGTCCAGTGCTCTGTGCTCAGTGCTCAGTGCCCAGTGTTCTGTGTTCAGTGCTCTGTTCTCAGTGTTCTGTATTCAGTGCCCAGCGCTCCGTGTTCAGTGCTCTGTGCCCAGTGCTCCGTGTTCAGTGCTCTGTGCTCAGTGCTCTGTGTTCAATGCTCTCTGCTCAGTGCTCAGTGTTCTGTACTCAGTGCTCTATGATTTGTGCTCAATGCTCTGTGCTCAGTGCTCTGTGCTCAGTGCTGTGTTCAGTGCTCTGTGTTCAGTCTCTGTGCTGAGTGCTCAGTGCTCTATGCTGAGTGGTCAGTGCTCTGTGTTCAGTGCTCAGTGCTCTGTGCTCTGTGCACTGTGCTCAGTGCTCTATGCTTTGTGCTCAATGCTCTGTACACTGTGCTCAGTGCTCTGTGCTGTGTTCAGTGCTCTGTGCTCAGTGCTCAGTGCTCAGTGCCCAGTGCTCTGTGCTCAATACTCTATGCTTTGTGCTCAATGTTCTGTGCTCAGTGCTGTATTCAGTGCTCTGTGCTCAGTGCTCTTTGCTCAGTGCTTAGTGCTCTGTGCTGAATGCTTAGCTTTCTGTTCAGTGTTCAGCGCTCTGTGTTCAGTGCTCAGTGCTCTATGCTTTGTGCTCAATGCTCTGTGCTCAGTGCTCTGTGCTCAGTGTTCACTGCTCAGTGTTCAGTGCTGCAGTGTTGCGGGGTTCAGCTCGATATACTGAAAAGGGCATTCTCCTTCAGTGTGTACCTGAGGCAGTGTTCAGACGGCATCCTCCAGCTGGGTCCTCAGAGTTAGGCTTAGAAGGTTTCAGAAGAATCCACAAGCATTCCAGCTGCATTAAAGGAAGGAAAGAAAAGTGAGAAAGATGCAAAGAACAATCTAGAAGCTCATGACACCAATGCCACAGAACAGGCCTGTAGGAATTGAATGCTGACATTTAACATCCCCTCGTCACTTTCCTAGACCTGTTCTTGATGTTTTTAAACTTTGAGGTTTTTGACATTTTTAGAGCCTTGAGTATAGAAAGTATACTGTGCTTGAGACTCGATAATAGCTGAGTAAAGATCAAAAGGAAAAACATCAACTAGTCATAGGGAACAATTACTACACCTACAGTGATTGGAACCACAGATACTATCCATAGACATTTAAGTTTCCTTCTTAGTATGATAAGTGGAATAAGTTTAAGTCAAGTACCTATTGGGTAAGTACATACAGAAAGATTCTTTTCTACTCAAGGAGATGGTTTCTGGGAATTCACTGAAGAAGCGACACACAGAAAGGAGGAAGATGAGGAGGAAATGAAAACTGGATTCTCAGGGCAGCCTCAGGTTAGCATACAAGAGCAGGTGTGCTCCTCAGGCCTGAAGCTCCCTGCCTGTGCACACTTCCCATCCATCCGTGCGACACACCCTTGCCTTTGTTTTCAATGAGTTATGTAACTCTAAACAGAAAAATAAATTATTTGAACAGTCTGGCACCTGGTCCATGACTGCATTTTACAACTCTCCTTAGAGTCTAGCTCGAATTTTGTAATACACCCAAGTGCCAAAATTAATTAGAATTTGGATAAGCTGAATAGGCTTCCTTCTGTCTCAATTTTATTTCGAAAAGCAGCCGTAATAGGGTAAAGATGCTTATTTATGAAAGGGATGTATTAAACTGTGCTTCTGTTTTGTATAATAAGATATTTGTATCCTGATAAAATATAGCATTTATTACAGTATAAAGAAACCTGCAATTGGTATGATTTTGAAATACTTAATGAAATTACATTTATCTACGTGTTCAATTATTACTGAATATTGGGTTGTTTCAAACATTTAGTCCACACAATCTCACCGTGTAGTCCTTTTCTTTGTAATTATTATAAGTAAGATACTCTTTCACTTATTTCTAGTGTTAAGTTCTGACAAAAACTGAAGTGAGCATTGTTCTCACCTGCTCCATCACGGGTGAGACGCACAGACGGTTGAAATAATTCGAGGTACATTGTTTAATCAGCTGAGAGACTTGCTTAGCAACCCTTTATTGCTACAGTTTCCCCTGACAGTGTGCTTTATAAGCTCTATGGTCTGATATCTAACACAAACAGAGACAAAAGCCTCAGCTTTGAAATCAGAAAGCGTATTTATTACAGGTGGGTTAAAAAAATCTTACTCTTGAAAATCCTCGGTTTTAAAAATACAGTTAATAATCCAGCAAATTGAGAAAAGAATTATAAAGGTTAGAACAATTCACCATTAAAGAATTATATCTAATCTGATACATTTCGAACAGTAAATGATAGAAAAAATCATAAAGTGAACTCAATTCTCTGCTAGAGATACTCACTGTTTGTAGGTCAGCAAAATAAATGAGTTTTTCTCCAAAATTATCTAAGGGTGACCTTCTACATCCTACATAATTTACTTCAATAAACATAACATTTAAAGGCGTATCACCATAGAAAAGTTTTCTTACTATTTATTATTTACTATTATTTTTCAACATATGTTCTACTTGCTATATATATAATATACTGGGTAAAATGAAGATTTATAGGCAAATATCTGAACATGCTCATAGATAGGATGGTGTACTAGAGATGGCATGTCCTTCTACAGCTTCATTTTGCTTTCACCCTGCTCAGAACCTTCCTAATCTATGGCTCTTAACTTCCCCATGAAACCTTGATCAGTCTCCTGTCTTCTTCCTCAGAATCCTCTGAATCCAGGGCAAACCAGCTTGGTATAACACCAGTAAGTACATGATATGAGAACAGAGAGCTGTCCTTCAGACACTCTGCTCTCAGCTCACCACACACGCACACCTAGCACAACCTTTAGGCGAGTGTGATGCTCACTTGGAAGCACAAGAAGAGGGTCCTCTTCTGTGAATTGAGAGCTATCACAATTGAGAGTAATAGGAAGACTGTAACTGTGGCCATATGACTCCTTTCTGAGGCCACCAGTATAGCAAGAGGGCTCTCCTAATCCTTCTCAAGTCAGGTTTTTCTGAGTTCTTTGCTCAGGTAGTGTGATGGTTTGTAAATCCTCAGCCCAGCGAGTCACAGGATTAGAAGGTATGGCCTTGAGTAACTGTGGGTGTGGGTTGTAAGTCTCTCATTCTAGCTCCCTGGATGTCAGTATTCTGCTAGCAGCCTTCGGATGAAGATGTAGAACTCTCAGCTCCTCCTGCACTGTGCCTACCTGGATGCTGCCATGTTCCCACTTTGATGATAATGGACTGAACCTCTGAACCTGTAAACCAGCCCCAATTAATTGTTGTCTTTTAAGAGTAGTCTTGGTCATGATGTCTATTCACAGCAGTAAAACCCTAATTTTGACAGGTAGACTCTTCCTTTGTATGTATTCAAAAGCTTTGTGATCAAGTACTAAATATGTAAGTGGTTTTGGTGAACTGAGAATTCACTGATGTCACAATACTACAAAGATGAAAATATGTTTATAAAAATAATTAGGAAGCATGTATTAAAATCTTGGTAATGTTTAATCAGCTTCTTAGCTCAGCCTAACACATTTTGGGAGGAAAGAGAACATTCCACTGCAGTATAACTATTATACACGAGCAAGGAAGGCTGTGAAGGATATCAGAATTTTCCACTGCAAAATATACTTCTTCCGCACATAGATATACATTGAGCTAACAATTGCTAAGAACCAGCAGATGCAGAATATGGTTTAAAAACAAACTGTCTTTTCCCTTTTCAAATGAAATTTCCAACCAGAGACTAATTTGTCACAGTGCCTTGGTAAGCAGATGTTAAATTCCTTTATTCTATACAAAGATGAATTGTGTAGTGATCATCTCAGATGATAAGCATGTTGATGAATTACTTTTTGTTTACATTGTGCTAATGTACCTAACATGTCAAATGCTAATCCTTTTTGATATCACTATATTGAATGAACACAGATCTACCTGCCTATGCCATCTGAGAACTGGAATTGAACATATATGCTACCATGCTCTTTCAAAGAGTAATGTAGTAATAATAATACACATATCATAAGCACACAATAAAGAAGGTCATGTTAAAACATATAGAGATTGGAATAATGCATACACAAATTCAGAGTCTTTTTAAAATCAAAAACAGAGGTTTACTGATTACAAGTACAAACAAACAAGCAGCAATGTAACAGGAGGGGGTGTAGCCTTGCCAAGACCATGATTTCCACCTTGTACTACACAAGTTCTAGGAAAGAAAAATTCTGTTTAAAGTCACTCAGTTTTGGGTACACAGCATGTTGGCCTCATTCTTAGGGCTCAACGAGAGGAGAGTAGGGTCAAGGACAAAGAAAAGAGTCTCAGCTGCCTTCCCACTTGAAATCCAAACCATCTCCCTTTATTGTTTCTAAGGATAATTCTGTGGGAGGCTAATGATGTGAGTGTGTGTCCTCTTTTCTCTTAGTATACCAAACACTGGGTTTAGGACCTGCAAAAAACTCAATGACTTAACATTTGTTTTTATTAGTATGGTCACATTCATGGGTATAGGGTTAAGACATAAACACTTATGATTTCCCCCACACTGGGGTGTCCAGCCTTCACTGGACCAAGGACTTCCTCACCCACCTATGCCAACAAGGCCATTCTCCCCTACATATACAGCTGGAGCCATGGGTCCCTCCCTATGTGCTCCCAGGCTGGCAGTTTAGATTCTGGGATCTCTGGTTGGTTGGTATTGTTGCTCTCCCTATAGAGATGCAACCCCTTTCAGCTCCTTCAGTCTTCTTGGTAGAGCAAATTTTAAGACAACCTAGTATTGACTGTGTCATGTGGTTATTAGCAGTCACTCTTACACAGATCTACAATAAAAAGCAGCAACTGGGGTAAGGAGAAATAAAAATGTATAATATAAGGAGAGAAAGAGCACCAATAAAAGGTGATGTTGGACTATCAAGGAGATAACAATCTTAAAGAAAAGCCTGGTGCTAAATGGAATAAATGGAGTGGTAACCTCAGGGTAAGAACACTTTAAGCTAAGGTTTCAACTCGTGGAAGGAATTAAAGAAAAGCTTAAGCAGAAATAGGAACCATTAACAACAGAAATCTGATGCAAATGTAATTGGTGAGTTCCAGTCCCAACAAGTAGAACTTGGCAGTTTCATCCTGTGGTTCTGGCTTTAGAGTCAAGGAGGATACAAGAGATTGTGAAATTCCCTTCTTCAGCTAATGAGAGCTGCTGGGGTCAGGAGTACCCCTGTAAGGAGGCTCACAGAGGCCATTGTGTAAAGCTGAAGTGAATCCTGATTGTGTTAGAGACCTCAGAATGTTAGAAATGCCAGAGCCCTGGGATACCTGCCAAGGAGAGCTGCTAATAGGCTGTGGAACAGGCCCAGGAGAGAGAAGTCTGTTGCAGTCAACAAAGCTAAAAGGAGTTGGAGATCTGAAGAACATTTTGATATCAGACACAGAGATATCAAATTTGGAGTTTGGCCTGCAGGCTTTTACTCTTGCTTTGGTCTAACATTTCCTCACTGTTCCTTTTCCTCCCTTTTAAAATAATAACATATATTCTGTGCCATATATGTTGGGAGTATATGATTTGCTTTCTGCTTTTGACTTTACAGAGGTTACAGTTAAGAATGCCATGAGTGTCAGAAGAGACTTTGAACTTTGGGTTTTTAAACAGTATTTAGACTGTGATGAATTATGGGACTTTTGAAATTGGACTTTCTTTTCATTATGGTATGGCTCCAAGTCTCTGTGGGCCACGAAGTAGAATGTAATGTTTGCATAAGAATGGCCTCCATAGGCTCAT